GGCGGCGCCCTGGGCAGCTGCGGTTTTGAGCTGCGTGCCCGCTAACGCCGGTCAGGTCACTGTGGGAGACCCCGCGCGAGGGGGTCACCAAATGGGGGGCTTCCTCTCTGAGGCCGGAGCACAGCCCCGACCGTGCGGCTCCCCGGTCGGCTCCCACAGCCCAGTCTCAGCGCCTCGCCGCGCCGACCGGCTTCCTCCCACCGGTCCCTTCCACGCGTCTCCCGACCCAGGGGTAGCGGCTCGGTCACTAAGCGCTCACTGTCCTCTTCCAGCCGAAGACACGGGTTTGACCGTGACTGTGACTTTGCGCCGCAGTTCTTGCAGCCTCAAATGGAGCTAGCGATGTGTTGTTCTGCCTCAGAGACGTGTTGTAAAGCCCCAGTGAGATTGCATGCGTGGGGATGCCTTTCAAACTGTAAGACGCTCTGCAGGTGCAAGAGGCAGCGGGATGAGTAGTTCACGCCAGCGTCAGCACCTGCGAGCCGCCTGGGAAGAGCGGCAGTGCGCTCGTAGTCAAAATACCTCCTACAGGTGCCGCAGGCAACCAAAGAATTACGCGAACTGCTGTGGCTGGAGTGTCAGCTGATTCTGTTTTACTTAAGGATTTATTCCTTGGTTTCTCTAGAACATTCTTAACACTAGCTTTTGGAAATCTTGGTAACACGTTGCACACTTGGAGAGAAGTGTGTGTATGAAACTTCTTTCATCTACAGTGTTCGGAACACTTTCATTTTTTGTATAAGAAACAAGCCGATCTTAACATTGTGAAAGGTCTTGTATCCAACTTGCGTAAAATTGTCACTCATTACAGATGCTCAGACAGGCGAGGTTTGCCCTGCGAGGAAGTGCAGGGCTAGGTCTTCAGAGGCAGGAAAACTATCTTCCCCAGAACCCAAGGCTGTGTGGTGCTCTGTCCTGGGAGACATTGTGGTTCCCAGCAGCACGGTGAAGGAAGAACGCAAATCTTTTCTCTTTCTCCAAACCTCTGACACCACCTCCCCCATCCTCACTCTCACCTGTCAGCTTTGCTTTCTGTTTTGCTGAGAAAATACAGACAAGAATTCCACTACCACACTCACCACCTCCTCCCACGTGTGTGCCCATGTAGTCCACATTCTTTCTGTCGCTGTGGGTGAACCATCTACTCCTAAAAAGGCCAGCTCGACCCCATGCCTTCTCAGCTCCTCAGCAGCATGGATCCAGGAGTTCTCTCCTTTTCCACATCATCAGTTGTTCGTTCTTGGCTGCATCTTGAACCCATACAGTTCAGGCTTTTGCCTTAACAGTCTGCTGATCCTGCTCTCATGAAAGTCAGTGGTGACCTCCCTGTTGTCACGTCCAGTGGTTCGTTCTCAGGCCTCCTCTTACTTGGCCCATCACTGCATTTGACCCAGTTCATCACTCCTGGCTTCTGAACAACCGTTCCCTCTGGTGTTTCTTGCTACTTAACTGGCTGATCCTTCCCAGGCTCCTCTGCTGGTTCTTTCTTGGCTCCTGGATGTCTAAACATCAGCCAGCATTTCCACCCAGCCCTGTTGGAGGTTGAAGTTTTCTAAGGCTCAGTCTGTGGACCTCACTTTTCATCTGTAACCTTTCCTCCAGTGACCTAATTTAGTATCATAGCATCAGTGTCCTAAAGTTGCATGTGTATTTCCCCAGCTCAGACTCTTTCTATCTACCTTTCTGCTCAGAAGCTGCACATGGATGTTAAAAGGCAAGTCCAGTCTAGCGTATCCAGGACCGAGTGCCTGGTCTCTCCCCCAAGTCCTGCCCCCTCCCCGCCTTCATATCGGAGATGGTGGTGACTCTGTTGTCCACTTGCTCAGACCAAACACCCGGAGTCACCTTTGATGCCTCTTAATCTTATAATCCACACCTAATCCGGCAGCTCGTCCTGTTTTCTCTACCTCCAGGTTATATTTAGGATCTGACGGCTTTTAAGCACTTGCACTGACACTGTCCTGGTCCGGGCCGCTGTCGGCTCTCAGCATTGTTGGGTGTCGAACAGCAAAGTGGTGTCTGAAATGCTGAGAATCTCAGAAAAGAAGACGACCATCACGAACGCACCGGCCGACAGCTGTCCCCCTGCCCTCAGCTGGCGCCTCACCATTCTGAGAGCGCGCCTCCGGGGCTGCCCCAGGGCCCTGCGGGGGGCTGGGGGGGGGCGTCCCCCACCTGCAGCCTTGACCGGAGCAGCTTGCCTTTCATCTGAGTTACGTATCTGGTTTCTGCGCAGGATTTATTTAGAAAAGTGGTTCCACTACTTTCTGGTATTTGAAAACTGCTAATAAAATTGAACACAGCACCCACGAGGCACCTGGTTTAGACCCTGAGCGTGGGTCTCAGACGCTCACCTTCGTGGGCCCGGGGTCCCTCTCATGGTGGTGGTTGTCCTGTGGTTGTAGCTGAGGGCCAGCCGGTTCTCAGGCTGGCCTTCTCTCTCACCGGGCTGCTCTCCAGAATAACCTTCTGCTAGCACCGCCGTCGCCCCAGGCCCAGGCGGCTGGAGGCTGAGAAGTGCAGTGGGCTGAACCTCTGCCTTCAGCTTTGTTGTGAGAGGCTGCAGAGTGATGACAGACTCCCAGTAACTTCCTTCTGGACCACCTTAGGGGCAGGGAGGCAGGAATTCCTTTAAGGCAACTGTCGCTTTTGGAAGGGGACCCACCCATCAGCCTGTACAGGGCCCCAAGAGGGGCATGTTCCTGCAGCAGCTGATCAGATCCAGGGCTGGAGGGGAGACTGGGCTCCTCTGCTTTGCAGGCCTTTCTTGAGACACTTGGTGACAGGTGCCCTGAGGAGAGGCAGGGCCCCTGGGGGCTGGCGACTCAGGGTCTGGGACGTTCCTTCTCCGCAGGTGGGGGTCAAACCCAAATACTCAGGTCATGCTGGCAGCTAAAGGGGTGAGGAGAGCCCAAAAGTCACAGGGGCTGAGGACACCGCGGGATGATTTTGGGCAGCGGATTGTGGTGGCCCAGCAGGGAATCCAGGGTCAGCTGGGAACATCAGCCTTTGGTTTGAGGTGGACGTGAAGCTTCGTGTTTCCCAGGTGTGGGTGGTGACGGGTGGAGCCGTGTTCCACGTGCGTAACTGCAGTCACTTCATGTTCAGAACACACGATCTCTGTTGAGCCTCGCAGCTGCCGTCTGAGGTATCATGTGTCACGGGAAAGGCTGGCACTGAGGAGGGGTTGGGACTTGCCCACCACACATGTGAGAACGGGCTGAGCCGGGCTACGTGCAGGTTGATCTGGGCCTCCTCTGGTGGTCCTGGCCTGCATGCTCAGTGCGGGGGGCAGAGGTCTGCCAGCAGGGGAACGGGTGTGGGAGCGTGGATGTAGCCGGGTGGGACGCCGGGGAGATGGCAGACCTTGTGACCTCCCTACGTTCTTGTCAGCGGCAGCATCTTGGCACTCACAAAGTGACCAGTGTAAATGTTTACATTTTTTGGTAAAGAGCTTTCACATCCATTGTCTTCCTCACAACAACCTGGAGTAAACGTTACCTGCGAATGAGTGCGTGAGTGAGAAAATCAAGGTGCAGGGTGTGGGGCGAAGGGCGGTGGCTCAGGCCGCACAGTTAGTGAGCTGCAAGTCAGGGCCCAGACTGGGCTTGGACATGTCAGTCCAGGCCCTTTGTTTCATGGAACAATTGTCAGAACTTGCTGTTGATCAGGAGAGCTGATCAAAATCAGGAGTAAACCTGCATGAGTCAGGGAGGAGGAGGAGCCTCGGCGGTGGCGTCGAACACAATTCCTGTGTCCCGAGCACCGTCTGAAGTTTCCTTTCTAGTTCCTTCAGCGAGCAGCATCCTGCCAGCGGCTGTAGGGACTAGCAAATCTTTTTCCTTCCCTTTTGACTGATACTATTTAAATTTTTATTAAATGTTCTTTTTTTAGAAAGAAGTTTTCCCATTTCCAGAAGTAAGCCAGGATGAGCTTGATGAAATCAATCAGTTACTGGGACCTGTAGAGAAATTCTTCACTGAAGAGGGTGCGTATGATTTTCTTTTTCTTGGCCGGTTTCCGTTTAAAGAGTGTTGCTTTGATGTTTGTATTTGAAGCCGTCTACATTAATCATGGAGAAATAGCCCTGTTGGCTCGTTTTGCTTTGAGGGTCGTTCGAATTGCTATCTACTCGTAAGACGTCTAGTTCACTGCTTCTGAATGTGTCTGTGGTAAAGGACCACTTCAAACACCTCTGAACTGTTGCAGGCTGACACTTTTGTAAAATACAGTAAAAATGAGCAATTCAAAAAATGAAGTTAAAAAAACCCAGATCATATAAAATAGACGCTGCCGATCGTGTGTCGGGTGCTGTGAATGTGTTTGAAGGCTTCCTCTCGGTCTCTGTACTTCAGTTCTTGGGAACCAGAGGTGGTCTGTGGGCCAGCAGCCACCTGCAGACCATGGGTTGAGGGCATCAATGTGGACTGCAGGTCCCTTGGGGTCACAGTCCTTTCCGAGGGGGCTCCCTGGGGGCTGAGCAGTGAAAGATTGACCCCGATGCTTCACCAGCACCCAGAACCCCAAGGAGTTACCGTTTCTGTTGGTTTTATCTATCAACATGTGTCCTTTTAGACATGAAAACTGAGTTTTAAAGACGCTGCATTCACTTACTACTTCATTTAAAAAGAGTGATAAACCCATTACATGTTACCATAAACAAAATTTTTAATGAGGAGTGGCACTGATTCACAGTTTTGCAGATTTTTCTGGCAGCTGGAGGCAACTGGATTCGCATACCTGTTTCTACATTGAATCTGTGATATAAGTCGTGTAGCCCCTGGAAAGTTCCACTGTACACTCATGACAGAGTTAGAATTAAAAAGTCAGAGAATGTCTTTCTGTTATTAAAATAGTTTTAACCCTGTGGACCCCTTGGAAGTGTCTCAGGTCCCCCGGGCACCCTTTGAGAACTGCTGATGTACGTAGTTAACTGCTACGTTGCTAGTTTTAAAATTTGCTTAGTTGTGTATAAATATGTTTCATTATTTTGAAATAATTCTAGTTTTAATTCTGGAGATTATTCTTATTCCTTGTATCTATTTTTAGTTCCTTGTTCTTCTGTTTAAACTTTTACTATCTGGTTTTTCAGGCTTTTTTTCCTTTCTAATTTTTATTGAAATATGATTGATTTACAGTAAATTGCATATATTTAAAGCGTACAGTGTGATAGTTTTGGCATATGTTTACCCCCACAGAACCATCCACACAATTAAGGTTATAAACATACCCTTTGCCCCTAAAAGGTTTTTTGTGCCCCTTTCATTCTTTCCCTGTGTGCAGGCAAACATTGATCTGCTTTATATATTCATTTGCATTTTCTGGAATTTTATTTGAATGGAGTCACATGTTATGTCTGTTTTTGTCCAGCTTCTGCGGCACAGTTTTGAGTTTCATCCCTGTTGCATGTGTGAGTAGTTTCTGTTTTATGCTGAGTAGTACTTCTTTGTATGATTGTACCAAAATTTGTTTATCCATTCACCTGCTGATTGACATTTGGGATGTGTCCACACTTTAGCTATCACAAACCAGGATGTTTCGAGCAGTATTCTATGAGTCCGGCGTCGACATGTGCTTGCATTTCCCTTGGGGAAATACGTAGGAGTGGAGTGTCTGAGTCGCATGATAGGTTTATACTGAACTCTTCAAGAAAGTGCCAGACCATCTGCCAAGGTGGTTACGTTACCACTTGACGCCCCCGCTAGTGCCTCGGAGTTCCCGCTGCTCCGTGTTTTCACCAGCACTTGGTGTGTGTTTTCAGTCGTGGTCGTCCTAGCAGGTGTGCTGTGGGATCTCACTGTGGTTATAACTTTCATTTCCTTGATGACTGATGAGGTCTCATCTTTTCATGTGCTTATTTGGCATCCTGTGTCTTTCTGTGGTGAAGCGTCTTTCAAATGTCTTT